CGCGATTAGAGAGGAGGGAGAGAGAGAAAGAGGAAAGAGGGAGGGTGGGGGGGGGGGGGGAGACGCTTGTGTGTGTAAACATGTGCATTATTTACTCCTAATAAAGTGCCGTATATAGTATAGTATAGTATAGTATAGTATAGTATAGCATAGTATAGTATAGTATAGTATAGTATAGTATAGTATAGTATAGTATAGTATAGTATAGTATAGTATAGTATAGTATAGTATAGTATAGTATAGTATAGTATAGTATAGTATAGTATAGTATAGTATAGTATAGTATAGTATAGTATAGTATAGTATAGTATAGTATAGTATAGTATAGTATAGTATAGTATAGTATAGTATAGTATGGTATGGTATGGTATGGTATGGTATAGTATAGTATAGTATAGTATAGTATAGTATAGTATAGTATAGTATAGTATAGTATAGTATAGTATAGTATAGTATAGTATAGTATAGTATAGTATAGTATAGTATAAGTATAGTATAGTATAGTATAGTATAGTATAGTATAGTATAGTATAGTATAGTATAGTATAGTATAGTATAGTATAGTATAGTATAGTATAGTATGCTATAGAGTTCATTAGTATGGTGAATTACTTACATTTATTTCTTCTTGCAGGTGTGAGGTTATGAACAGTTCTGTTATTCCACTTCAAGGGATGACCCAAGGAAAAGCGCAGCTTCTACATCAGCAATACGTCTTACCGCTATAAACATTTCTTCTGCCTCAACAACATGTCGACCAAGAAATCCCTGGCATTTTCTATTGACAGTATTATGAATAGGACTTCCACACATGCCCCCAGTGTGAACTCGAACCCTACTCTTCCAGCATGCCCTGTTCCCACGCCTCCTGCAAGCGACATCCAAGCGGTAGATCCTGCCAGATCATTCAGCCCAGGACCAACCTCAAATTCTACCAACGACGTTAGTAACGGCTGCTCGAGGAGTTTGGACAAGGACGATTGTGTTTCACAGACAATTCGTTCTTCCTCCTTGGTTTTAAAGACAACGCCAAGCAGCCAATGTAGAGTACCAACGCCAGAATCCCTGGACACCGCAAACTTGTCCTCAAGCCCCAAGAGATCGTCTCATTCAAACCTTGGGAGAGACGCCAGAGTTCACTCACCAGCGTATGCATCGTCCACTCGCCAGGGTCAGCTCCGTTCTCCAAGATCTCACGACTTCCACAGATCCCTGAGTCTGTCGTCTTCAATCTCTGCCCAGGATGCAAGCAATCAAGCCTTTATGCATTACATCAGAGAGGGCTATGAGGGGTTTCATGACCCAGCTACTGCACAGTCAATGCTGAATGCTTTCCCTAACGGCTTTAACGGGATCAACCCTAGCCTTTCTCGAGATTTCAGAGACTTGAACCAAGTCTACCCGTTCTTCCACCCAGCTTTCATTGGGTCTATACCCAGGGGTAACTCTATGGACGAATTTCATGCTCAAATTATCAAGAGTTATCCCTGGGTAAACTCCGGGATTTTAACACAAGTCAACATGGGGCATATAGGCAACGCTCCGACCAACCTGTTTGAAAGTCTAAAACATACGCATCTAATTCAAAACACGCTAAGACAATCAACAAACAACAACAGCAGCAATATAAATTATAACAACGCTATCAATAGCCGCATACCTCAAGGGCAAGACGATACACTTATGCTCAAGTATGGACTTAATGTGAACGATCTTCCATGCAAGTCAATGAACCTGGCGTCTCGCAACCTTACCAACAGAAATCTAGTTTTGAGTCCCCAGGAAAAGCGAGGAGTTTCTTATGATTGTCAAAACTCTGATTCCAGCCACATGATTTCAGTTAAGACAGAGGGCAGTATCAATGAGGATGATGATGACGACGATGATGAAGATGAACAATGCGTCGACTTGTCTTCCCCGAACAGCTCCTGTGCCACCAGCAGTGTAGATGACTCCAAATCTAAAAAGCTCATTGGAAAGTCGCAGAAGACCTTCACCTGCCCTGAATGTGGGAAGGTGTTCAACGCGCACTACAATCTGACAAGACACATGCCGGTGCATACAGGAGCTCGTCCTTTTGTTTGCAAAGTGTGTGGCAAAGGCTTTCGACAAGCCAGCACGCTGTGTCGACACAAGATCATTCACACTTCAGAGAAACCACACAAGTGCGGGACTTGCGGGAAAGCGTTCAACCGCAGTTCCACGCTAAACACACACATGCGAATACACCAAGGCTACAAACCGTACGTGTGCGAGTTCTGCGGCAAGGGCTTTCATCAAAAGGGCAATTACAAAAACCACAAGTTAACCCACAGTGCAGAAAAACAGTATAAATGTAGTGTATGTTCAAAGGCTTTTCATCAAGTATATAATTTAACTTTCCATATGCACACACATAACGATAAAAAGCCGTATACGTGTCATGTCTGCGGCAAAGGATTTTGCCGGAACTTTGACCTCAAGAAGCACATGAGAAAGCTGCACGACGGGAATCAGATGAGCAGCCTCGGTAACTCCTCCGACCAACTGAGTCCACAACCGGCTTCATCTGGACGTTCTAACATTTCTGCAGCTCATGGACATCTTTTTTCGGGACAAGGGGGATTCGGTCCTTCTGCCTTTCTGGCTCGACCTCCGATTTTTGCTCATCACCAAGCAATGGCTTGTCAGAGGCGTATCCTGTCTCCTTATCTAGTGGGGCCCAACACTGCCAGCCTCTTGCACAAAATATCCTCAATAATTTAACAAGGTCGGGTTCTCACAATGCAAACATTGACGTATGTGTGTTAGGTTTTATACTCCTCAAATCTGTCTCTATCTCGGCACAGTGAGGTGTGGTGAACCGTTCTCTTTCTCTCTGTCGTTCCCAGTGAGATGTAGTGAGTCGTTCTCTTTCTCTCTGTCGTTCCCCGTGAGATGTACTGAGCCGTTCTCTTTCTCTCTGTCGTTCCCATTGAGATGTAGTGAACCGTTCTCTTTCTCTCTGTCGTTCCCAGTGAGATGTAGTGAGCCGTTCTCTTTCTCTCTGTCGTTCCCAGTGAGATGTAATGAGCCGTTCTCTTTCTCTCTGTCGTTCCCAGTGAGATGTAGTGAACCGTTCTCTTTCTCTCTGCCGTTCCCAGTGAGATGTAGTGAGCCGTTCTCTTTCTCTCTGTCGTTCCCAGTGAGATGTAGTGAGCCGTTCTCTTTCTCTCTGCCGTTCCCAGTGAGATGTAGTGAGCCGTTCTCTTTCTCTCTGCCGTTCCCTCTGAACTGACAGCAGTGTCTACTTCACAAAGAAGAGTCAAGCTAGATGTTTTTAGGGCTCTTTGTGAGCGAGTCAACAGTGAGCAGGTACAGACAGATAATCACTGTCTGAAGATAACGGTACAACGGGCAGTGACCAGGCGATCTGGCCAACGCTCAAAACTCAGGGAGGAACGAGATAGAGATACACTCAGATTGTTACTGGAACTCTGTGCTCGCTGCTGAAGATGGGGACGGAGCGCGTACTGGAATGTTCCGAGCTCTGTGGGGTCGATTGTCAACTTCTCTCTCATTTAACTATTTGTCTCCTTATCTCACATTTTTCTGTTGGTCTCCTCATCTCTAATTTTACTATTTGTCTCCTCGTCTCTCATTTTGCTAGTTGTCTCCTCATCTCTCATTTTACTAGTTGTCTCCTCATCTCTCATTTTACTAGTTGTCTCCTCATCTCTCATTTTACTAATTGTCTCCTAAAGTCTCATTTCACTAGTTGTCTCCTCATCTCTCATTTTACTAGTTATCTCCTCATCTCTCATTTTACTAGTTGTCTTCTTATCTCTCATTTTACTATTTGTCTCCTCATCTCTAATTTTACTAGTTGTCTCCTAAAGTCTCATTTTACTATTTGTCTCCTCATCTCCCATTTTACTCTTTGTCTCCTCATCTCTCATTTTACTAGTTGTCTCCTCATCTCTAATTTTACTAGTTGTCTCCTCATCTCTAATTTTACTAGTTGTCTCCTCATCTCTAATTTTACTAGTTGTCTCCTCATCTCTCATTTTACTAGTTGTCTCCTCATCTCTCATTTGACTAGTTGTCTCCTCATCTCTCATTTTACTAGTTGTCTCCTCATCTCTCATTTCAATATTTGTCTCCTCATCCCTAATTTTACTATTTGTCTCCTCATCTCTCGTTTTACTTTTTGTCTCCTCATCTTTCATTTAACTTTTTGACTATTCTCTCACATTACCTTTTGTCTTCTTATCCCTCATTTTACTATTTGTCTCATCTCTGATTTTACCAGTCAGTTTAATTATGTTTGCTGTACGCGTGGTTTCAAGTTTCAAGACTTGACGCAAATTGTGTGTAAGTGTGTATGTGTATATGTGTATGTGTGTGTGTGTGTGAGAGAGAGAGAGAGAGAGAGAGAGAGAGAGAGAGAGAGAACGCAGGGGCGGCAGAACCTGAAGGCTTCAGTCGCCCCCCCCCCCCCCTCAAACTTCCTTTAAATTTTTAAGAAGGATAAATAAACCTCCGACCCACCCCCACCCCCTAACCCCGTTTGAAAATTATCTAAGTTTTTGTCCATACATATTACATTGCTTCAAACATACTTTTTGTTCATATTTAGAGCATATTATTATTATTATTATTAAGCAGTCAAACAGGGTGTAGGCTTCTCCTGCCTGTCCCATTTCCTCTCGCCCTAAACCCCCTCCCCCTCTCCCTCTCCCAACTGAAAGTCATTCTTGTGGCGTCAGAGCCTCTGTATGTATAAACAGGAGGGGAGAGAGAAATGGACACAGAGAGAGAGAGAGAGAGAGAGAGAGAGAGAGAGAGAGAGAGAGAGAGAGAGAGAGAGATGGACAGAGAGAGAGAGAAGAGAGAGAGAGAGATGGACAGAGAGAGAGAGAGGGGGAAATTCCATGAGAGAAATTGAAACTGCCACAGATTTATAGGAAAGTCAACACAAACAGATAATGAGAAAGCAGACACCACCAGCATGAAACTAAATGTTAAAATATGGAGTTCGGGTTTGGAGGTTTCAATGAAAGAGAATGAAATGTGTAAAGGGATTAAAGTGACATCGGTCGTGTGTGACACAAGACTGGCAGTTTACCGACTGTCATCCCTAGACTGGACAATTCTGGTGGCTCCCAACACTGGACAATTTTGGTGGCTCTCAACACTGAAAAATTTTGATGGGTTCCAACACTGGACAATTTTGGTGGGTTCCAACACTGGACAATTTTGGTGGGTTCCAACACTGGACAATTTTGGTAGCTCCCAACACTGGACAGTTTTGGTGGGTCCGAACACTGGCCAATTTTTGTGGGTCCCAGCACTGGACAATTCTGGTGGCTCCCCACACTTGACAATTTTGGTGGGTCCGAACACTGGACAATTTTGGTGGGTCCCAACAGATTCGTCAAATCCCCCATCAATGATATGCAAAAATGGCTATGTAAATGGCATACGCCTCTTTCTATTGGCTGTTGATCGTTTGTGAATATTAATGAAGAATTCGAATTTTTCTACAATATTGATACAATGCAGTATAGATTTATAAAAACGATGGATTTAGATATATGCACATAGAAGAATAAACAGATTTACAATTTCAAGAAGTTTATCTTTTGTTTATTAACCTGCTGTCTGTTTACCTGTTTGTTTGAATGTTTGTTTGAGAGTTATTAATTTAAAAAAAAACCTGTCTGTTGATTATGTCTGTCTGCCTATCTATCTATCTATCTATCTATCTATCTATCTATCTATCTATCTATCTATCTATCTATCTATCTATCTATCTATCTATCTATCTATCTATCTATCTATCTATCTATCTATCTATCTATCTATCTATCTATCTATCTATCTATCTATCTATCTATCTATCTATCTATCTATCTATCTATCTATCTATCTATCTATCTATCTATCTATCTATCTATCTATCTATCTATCTATCTATCTATCTATCTATCTATCTATCTATCTATCTATCTATCTATCTATCTATCTATCTATCTATCTATCTATCTATCTATCTATCTATCTATCTATCTATCTATCTATCTATCTATCTATCTATCTATCTATCTATCTATCTATCTATCTATCTATCTATCTATCTATCTATCTATCTATCTATCTATCTATCTATCTATCTATCTATCTATCTATCTATCTATCTATCTATCTATCTATCTATCTATCTATCTATCTATCTATCTATCGATCGATCGATCGATCTATCTATCTATCTATCTATCTATCTATCTATCTATCTATCTATCTCTCTCTCTCTCTCTCTCTCTCTCTCTCTCTCTCTCTCTATCTATCTATCTATCTATCTATCTATCTATCTATCTATCTATCTATCTATCTATCTATCTATCTATCTATCTATCTATCTATCTATCTATCTATCTATCTATCTATCTATCTATCTGTCTGTCTATCTGTCCGTCCGTCCGTCCTTCTGTCTGTCTGTCTGCCTGCCTGTCTGTCTGTCTGTCTGTCTGTCTGTCTGTCTGTCTGTCTGTCTGTCTGTCTGTCTGTCTGTCTGTCTGTCTGTCTGTCTGTCTGTCTGTCTGTCTGTCTGTCTGTCTGTCTGTCTGTCTGTCTGTCTGTCTGTCTGTCTGTCTGTCTGTCTGTCCGTCCGTCCGTCCTGTCTGTCAGTCTGGCTGGCTGGCTGTCTGCCTGTCTGTATGTCGGTTGGTCGGTCTGTCTGTCTGTCTGTCTGTCTGTCTGTCTGTCTGTCTGTCTGTCTGTCTGTCTGTCTGTCTGTCTGTCTGTCTGTCTGTCTGTCTGTCTGTCTGTCTGTCTGTCTGTCTGACTGAGTGAAGCAAGAATTATTACTATTACTATTGCTGACGGCAACTAGATATAATAATACTATGAAGTCATGTGAAATGTATAACTAAATAGTCAAACAAAGAACGCATACAGTGCTGGTTATAAAGAAAGAGACAAACAAGAGGGAAGGTGGCATTTAGTGCTCCGGCAAGGGGAGGTGGCATTTAGTGCTCCGGCAAGGGGAGGTGGCATTTAGTGCTCCGGCAAGGGGAGGTGGCATTTAGTGCTCCGGCAAGGGGGGGGGGCATTTAGTGCTTCGGCAGGGGGCGAGGGGCATTTAGTGCCCCGGCAAGGGGGTGGCATTTAGTGCTCCGACAGGGGGGGGGGGGCATTTAGTGCTCCGGCAAGGGAAGGGGGCATTTAGTGCTCCGGCAGGGGGGGGGGGGCATTTAGTGCCCCGGCAGGGGGGTGGCCTTTAGTGCTCCGGCAAGGGGAGGGGGCATTCAGTCCTCCGGCAAGGAGAGAGGCGCGCTTCCTGATATTGGGAGGAGGAAGGGCCTCCCATAGCCTCACCGACAAATAATAATTAACAATATTTAATAATAATAATAATAATAATAATATTAATAATATTAATAAAAATAATAATAATAATAATAATAATAATAATAATAATAATAATAATAATAATAATAATAATAATAATAATAATAATAATAATAACAATTGGGATGCTCAGAAAGCCGGAAATAAATGCAATCTTGCTCGAAGAAACAATAAGACATGAAATCGGAGTGAAAAAATATGTAAAAAAAAAAAAAAAAAAACAGAACAAAAGTGAAAAGGTTAAAGCCCAGAGGGTCATTACATTGTGGGTTTAACCACATATATTCGGTCTCTCTCCGCCGCCGCCTACAGACAGCATCACACAAGGCATGAACTCCCAAACTCCGACGACGATCCGTAAACCTGACGACTCA